TTACATGCGGAACAACTTACTCCCAGCGGCCGCGGGAAGCAACTTCGACTACCTTTTTTTCACTTTATACTTACTTCTGCAAAATGTCCTTCTCTGCCTATCCTAGTTCCCCACCGCCCCCCAAAACTCTTTAACCACCGTTTTTGCAGGACAAAATGCTGGGACAGCCGAGTTATGATTAACTAAAATAAAAAGTGCAGAATTTACGAGGAGGGCATAGACACACCTGGTTGCCAGAAGAACCGGTGAACTCACTCACAACCTTGAAAAAGTCACGTTAGTCAAAAACAAGACTAGTTAATTGGAAGGGAATGTTTCTTAGAAAACTTGTATTAACCCACAGGAACGAAAGAAAGATATTTAAGTAAAAATAAGAGTTTTGTTTTAGTTAAGACACATGCTTTTCGTTCATTCGGACTGTATTTGTGCTGATGAAGGCAAACCGGACCAGCGGGGTAAGTTTACGTAACAGTGATAGGTAAAAAAATGCACAGGTTCACGTGAACTCATTTAGCGAACCTGCAATTAAGTAATAGAGACCTGAATTCTTAAGCTTTTCAGACATAGTCCATGCCAGTTTGAGCTCCATTAGGCAAAAAAAGTTAAGGTTATAACAACTTAGCCGGAAAACGGAGATCACTGCCAAAACTTACCCAAAACCTTTTTCAGCATATCTTTCGGTGCTCTGACGTTGAAGTGAGGTCGCGTGGGTACAATGGCTATTTCGCCGTTGGCAGGCATAGAGCAGGGCAATTTCGTTTCGGACTCGATACGACTCTTGAGAAATTCCATCTTGCTCGCCTCGCCGTGCACCAAAAGGACGTGACCAGGGCGGCACTGTGAAATCAGTTGCATTATACCCCTGGCGTCGGCGTGTGCCGAAAAAGATAAGTATTCGACTCGCATACGGACCTCTAGCGTCTGCTTGTCGAATTCCAAACGTCTGGCTCCGTTTAGAATCTGGGTGGTAGTAAAGGATTAGACTTCGAGGCGTGCAAAAAGATCATTGTTCTGACACGTGTAATAAACTACAGCAGGTTGCCAAACTCATGCAATCCTACGATTTTTACAAGTAACTCCC